TGGTGCAACCAGCTAATATAGTAGTCTGCAAAAGCCAAAGTCTTAAAGCAGTCTCCTGCGCCCAAACCAACAGCTTGACAACCTGGAACAGCTTGACTGGCTGTGTGGATCAAACCAACTGGAAAACATGGATTTCGGATGATTTCGGCCTCTACTCTGTCGAGCTCTACAATGCTCTGCACTCTTTTGTGCTCAGTCGAGCTGACTCTTTCACAGGAGGGGCATGGGAGAGTGGATGCTCGGCGACTTCGCCTTGGAGCAGAATGGCCCACAACCGCAGCATGTGGCATGTGACCCAACTCGTCGAGGCCTCCAAAGAACTAAAAAAAGAAAACGACCAAAAAGGATTCCAGCATGGACCCAACGACCAAAAGTAGAAAAATGAAGCAGAAAGGAACATCGGCCTTTTCTTGGCGCCTTCGAGGCGCAGGTCAGTCTAGCTAAGCTCTTGTGCTGAACGAAAGACACTGGCTTACGTCGTCTCATCACACCAACTTCACCTTCATTTCCTATGCAAACGGAGTCGGCCCAACACAGCGAGAGACCTCCGGGGAAACAACACATACCACGAATAGCAGCCAACCCAAACAAAGCCAGCCGGAACTGGAGATGCCGCACAAAAGGCTATCCGAGCAATCCAGCGACAAGCAGAGACCAGCGGAGAAACTCTACGACCAGCAAAGCCGTTTTTGATACAAGTGAGGGGTTCCCTCACAGGTCAACCTGTTTGGGAAAAAGAAGCGCCCTGGAACCCTGGAATCAACTGGTCTGATTGGTCTCAGGTTTGTGCCTGATTGATCCCAAATTTGGTCTTCGACATCCTTGGCACATCCTTGGAAACTTCACGGTCTCCGTGGTCTCGCAGATTGGGAGGGCTCCACTTGTGCCCAACCCGTTGGAACTGCCAGGCCGTGCCACTCGATGCAAGTCGGACGGTAGCGCGCGAGGGAGGCGAGCCGCCCGACAACTTCTGGCCCTGCCGGACAGTCCAGTCGAGTCAATGAGCCTCACAACATCACACAGTTCGATCCAACAAATCGCCCGAAATCGGCCCTAACTGTCCAAGAGACATACATCAGGCCCTCCGCGGGAAAGAAGGGGAACTCCACCAGGGCCTTTTCTTCCACCTCCGAAATCGATCAAGGCAACCGTGCGAAAACGAACCTCAGTTGGAATGGATTCGAACATTCGAAGCACCAAAATGCACCAAATATTATCACATGCCAGCTGGCCATGTTCTGAGGGCCATTGTAAGGACTACGACCCATTCCCATTCCAAGCCACTACACTGTACTCCTGTTAAGAGCGATGACCTCCAACCTACCAGTGATGGCCTCCAACCTAAGAGCGGTGGCCTCCAACCTACCAGTGATGGCCTCCAACCTCAGAGCGATGGCCTCCAACCTACTAGCGATGGCCTCAACCTAAGAGCGATGGCCTCTAACCTACTAGCGATGGCCTCCAACCTAAGAGCGGTGGCCTCCAACCTA